CAGCCCCCGCAGCCGCCCGCCCGGAGGACCGCGCCGAGGCGGGGAGCCGCCTGAAGGACCGCGACGGCCGCGCCCGCAGGTGAGGCGGGGCCCGAGGTGTGATCGAGTCCAGCCCGGCTCACCTGGCCGTACCTCTGGGGAGGCTGTGCGGGCGCCGTGGGGGTGGGGGGCGGGGGCACCTGTCGGGACAGGAATTTATTTAGGTTGTTTTAAAAGCCCTCGTTGCAGGGGGAGGGGGTCCTCGCGTCTCACCCCCAGGGCTCGGCGGTGGGGAAGGGTGTCCCCTTGCGGAAACAACGGGGCGGGGGGGGGGACACGAAAAGGTGGAAAGGAGGGCAAAAGTGAGGCGCAGCGACCCCACGCCGGCTGCCTGCCCCGTTTTCCAGCCGGTTATGGGGAGGGGGGATGCCGTTCCCAGGGCTCCAGTCCAGGCTGCGGACCGTCTGCACCGCGCACCCAAGCCAATCCGATGGGGCAGGAGCGGCCAGCTCAGGGGCTGCTCCGACCAGCCCCGGGGTGAGGTTGTAGGGTGAGGGATCCGCATTGCAGGTGCACCTGGAGCGCCCGAGGGCCTGGCCCTGCTTTGTCTGGGATGCTGCGGGGAGGCAGCCGTCTGAATCCACATCGCCTTTTTAAATGCGTTTTACCATCCTCTGGACGTTAGAGACCCTCCCTGATAAGTTGCTTTGTCTCCTGTCTTGATAACCCTTTACGTAAGTACTCTACCTTACAGCCCTTTTCTGAAGCTTTGATGTAGGCTTTAGATGACCCTAAATAACGATTTGCTTGTAATTCATGAAATTGAGCATAATGCAAATATGCAGTAGAGCTCTGGGCTTGACTACAGAGCTGCGGTCTACTACAGTGAGTTACTCCAGTTTATCTAACTTACGTTTTCGTGCTGACCTGTATTGTTTAAATTCAAGCTTTGATATTTAGCAGTATGATCTATTCCAATAATTGAAAATGAGGTCACCTAAGAGGAAATATAGTCGTGCTCCGAAATTTAGGTTGCGGTAATAGGTCTTATTACAAAATACAAGCTCCGAGGCTGTAGTGCTTTAATACATTACGCATTTTCAGAAACCTACCTGTAGGAGTGTTAAAGCTAGAATTGCTAGAATTGCTGGGTCTTTTTAAATAAGATTTTTAAGTTTGAGATTTATATAAAGAGCATTGTTATTGTTTTATTAAGTGATTTTTTTTTTGCACTGTCAATTTGCCTACATTTTCTTCCCATTGAATTGTAAGGAAAAAGATACTAACATTTAAAGTGACTTTTATCCCCAAAGATGTTTTAAATATATGCATTTGTTTTGGCTAAATGTTTATCTTATGTGAAATATTTTTGGGAAAAGGTTTTAAGGCTTGTGATATATATGTATATATATGTGTTTATATATATGCATGTATATATACGTATATGTGTATTTACATGTGCATACTATTGAAAAACCTTAAAATAGTTTTTATTGTTTCTCGGCATCATCTTATAATTACTCAGTAAATTTAGGTTAGGTGTATTTAAAATCCAAAATACAAAACAATTACTTGTGTGTATCAGATTTTTATTGTGGTACATGTAAACACATCAATCTAACAGGTTTCTTGGAAAATATTCTTTTTTTTAAGTGAATCCTTTTGCTTTCAATGGAAGATCACTTGGGTTCTTAACTCTTTCATCTGTGATTCATTGGATAAATTCATTTTAATGTCATTACTTAATTGGCGGAGAGCATTTGCAACAATACTGACGTTAACATTGATGCTTTTAAGAAATATTTATAAAGCATTTTCTCATATTTCTAACAAGAAAAGACATGGGGCTTTTTCTTCTATCTTGAACAAGGTCAGCCATAAAAAGTTGCTGATACATAGTGGGCACACATGTTATTAACTAAGATTAATTACATCTACTGGATTGGATATCTTTAAAGGTCAGCGACTAGGTTCCTCTCTATGCTTCACGTTTGACTCAGATTGACATTCCAGGCTAGTTAAGTAGGTGCTAGCTTAATGACACCAATTTTCACTTCTCCAGCTTTGATATTTAAACCTGCAGAAAGGTTTGGGCAGGGAAGTGAACGTGTTCTAATTGTCTTCAGATATTTAAGGTTTGTCATGTAGCAAAGGGAATGTATATATTTAGGGTAATTCCCAAGTACAGAAGAGGCCAAGTAGTATTTATAAGAAGACAGATTTCACTTTGACATAAAAGCAAAAGTTTCTTACGATTAGAACCTCCAGCAGTGGAAAGAAGGGGCTGCTCCTTCCCCACAGAGTTTCCAGATAAGCCCGTTCCCCAACAGGGCAGGAATCTACTAGGAGATACCACACGGGGTGTGTGAGAGGCCCTCTGAGATGGGGTGTCTAGGGATTCCAGTGGCAGTGGAATGAAGGGCTTTGTGGCTTTTTTTTTTTTAAATGCTGGCTTCATAGCTACAGCTGTGGGCATAAGGACTCCCCAGAATGTGCCTGAACCCTTGGAAGATATTTGTACCAGGGTAGAGGCCAGCCTGGTATCAGGGGTGATTTTAATCCTACTTTGCTCTTGTATGGGGTTTTACAGGTAATAAAGCACTCTCACATTCAAAACACTTTTAAAAGACTTTTTTAAATTATACGTGATTTATATTTCTCTCTTTGGCTTTTATTTTCTACAATAAACATGAGGAAAATTACCCATTTCTATGAAGGCAAGCAGAAGAGATTTTTTTTTTTTTAAAGCTCTTTTTAAAAATGGGATGATGTCAGTCATTGTTTTCAGAGTCAGCAGGTTGTGAAGGTGAATAGATTTTCTTAAATTATTTTTTAAAAGATACTGATTAAGGGCTGATTCTTGTGCTTGCTCTGCATTTTAGTTTCTGTTTATTTCATTACTCAAACATGACTCAAATTTCACAGCAAAAAAAAAAAAAAATCCAGTCATATCCACCTACGGTAAGTTGCATTGGACATTCTTCCAGTTTGTCTGTGTTGTTTTTAAATATATGTTGGCAGCTGAAGGTAAAACACAGCTGAGAGAAATACAGTTACAATGTGCTGAAAAGATTGGGTGAATTGGAGCTTTGTGTCTGAAGTAGAAGATTTGTCCTATTTGTGCTAAGCCAATCCTGGATAATCCTGTTGATAATTTATCAACAATAGCGATGATGATCTATCCATAATAAGAAAGATTAGGCGGCTCTTGACTGTACGTCACGATACATGTTTTAAATGGGTTGGTGGTGGTAGGACTCTGTCTGTGGCCAAGGAGCAGAGCAGAGCTTCTTGTGAATACCAGAGTACCCAAACGAACTTCCTCTGCACAAGGATTAAGTGGAGCATAATGGTAACGGGCCAATTGAGTTAAAATGGCGTCTGATCCCTCCAACTGAGGAAGAAGTTAGAGGAAAAACCATCCTGAATTAATGTATATGTGTGCTTAATCTTTCAAAAACCCTTTTAGTTCCTCCCTTGTTCTTTATTTTTTTAAAAAAATATTTATTTGACAGAGAGTCACAGTGAGAGAGGGAACACAAGCAAGGGGAGTGGGAGAAGGAGAAGCAGGCTTCCCGCAGAGCAGAGAGCCCGATGTGGGGCTCGATCCCAGGACCCTGGGATCATGACCTGAGCCAAAAGCAGACGCTTAATGACTGATCCACCCAGACGCCCCCTCAGGCACCCCCTCTCTTCTGTTCTTTAGCAGATGAGTTTGTCTCATGCTTTTTGTGCCGGTTTATCCACCAGCTGAATTTGGGTATGATCGTTTAAATAAGACAAAGACCCAAACTTTAAACACGGAATACATCATTTATTTATACTTTATTCATGAAGGGAAAAGAGAAGAATACTAAGTTCTTCTGGCCAGCCAAAAAATAAAGCCTTTAAAAAAAAAAAAATCGGAGAGGCTACTTTAAATATTATGACCAGGTCAACAAATTATCAAGTAAGGTACCCAGTTAGAAAGCAGCCTTTTTAGAGGTCAAAGGTTGCCTTTTAGAGCTCCTCACCAGAGTTTCTGAGGCTGTCACACAGCTGTCTAAAAACCTCTTTGTTAATTAAAAAACAGGAGTTTGTGTATTTTATGCAGGTTTCCACACTGGAGAGCAGAATAAGTTATACATCTTTGTGATTATCCCCAGTTTACCATTTTATCAGAAATAACTTTATGAAGCAAGGAATGTCTGCTTCTCTGTAGCTATAAAGGAAGAGGGAATGTGCTTTCTCCTTTTATCAAGATTCTTTCTACTAGCCAAATTCTCAACACTGGGCAGTGGAATTCCTTTGGTTAGCACCAAACAAAAGAGCAAGCCTGAAATGCTTGAAGCTGACAGTAAAGGAGAGAAAAAAAACAGAAG